CAAAGTTCTGGAGCTTGGAACTTAAGAAAAGTCACTTCTGTCAAAAATGGGTGACTGGTACACATTCATAATGGCTCATGAGAGTAACTCAGATTGGAGAGCACTCTTATACAACACTGTCTAGAAAGTACAGAAACTGTTAAACTTCAAGTTTCCATAAGCTACTAAAGTCTCCAATGGTGAGAGGTTGGACCTAAAGAAAAGCAAGTACATGACATATGCATGCAACCCCAACACTCAGAAAGCAGGAGGATCACAAGTTCAGTTCCTTCCTGGTCAGTTTAATGGGCCCTGTCTCAAGATAGGAAAATAAAAAGGAAGACAAAGGTAGTGGACTATGCCTATTAACCCAGTACTCTGGGAGGCTGGGACGGGAAAATTGTAAGTTCAAACCCAGCCTGGGAAAACTACTGATTTGATGAGACCTGTCTCGAAGTGGAGTTAAATAAAATAAGATTTGAGAGCAGAGCTTAATAATTGAGTGCCTCCGAGCTAAATTCCTCCATAAAGGAGGAGAAGAAACCCAAACTTTGAGAAATTGTAGGTTATAATGCAGCCTGCTGTCTCAGGAAAATTTAGGCATGTTCTTGAGTTTTGTAATTTAGAACTGGTTTTAAACTCTGCACTTTGGAAAACTGCAAAATTTCACAAAACCAAAACTCTGGCACATGTAGGGCATCTTACTCCCTTCATTACCTGACCAGTACTTATCTATTTCATGGGGCAGCAAATACGCAATTTCAGGAATGTCTGGAAGATGAATACTCCCTACAAGTGATGTCCTCATTGCAAACACCGATGACATAGCTGGGATTCAAACTCTGCTCAGACATTTGTAGACTATGGAGTTAGTATGACTTGCAAACTCAGTGGGTTATGGTTTGGTTTGGTCTGGTTTGGTTTGGTTTGGTTGGTTTGGTTTGGTTTTTAATCCAAGAAGTGTGAGACATAAACATATTAAAATTACAAAAATATGAGAAACTACAAAGATATACATTTTATAAATTTAAAATATCAAAAGACTCCAGCAGAACAGCCCATATTTTTTTAACAAAATCTGTACTAGTGTTTGTCTTATCTGTTGACTCAATCACTTGGGCCACTCCCACACCGTTCCCTTTCAAATCCACCATATGCATTAGTCTTATTAGGGTAATCTGAACTTCGTCTGCGCCTCCTTCCTTTGTTGCTCTATAATAGGACCCATCATGGGAATGGCACTTCAAGGGCATTTGGTAACTTCTGCAGGTTGGTCCAGCTGTCTCTACAATTGGAGGTGCTCTTTACTGGACGGCAGGGAGCAGTACTCCCCGCACTTCATCAGGAAGAGCCAAACCTGGAAGAGGCAGCTCACATTCTGCAGGACTTTCCAAAGCCCCCGAGACTTGCATGTGGGCAAAGCCAAGTTGTTTATCTGAACCACGGCGCTAAAGCATTTTACCTATGATACAATACTTTTTGCATAATGTTAATATACAGAAAATATTTTAACCTATTTCTTTTAACCATGGGAAGATTAGACATTGTTTTTACTCAAACTTTTTTGAGAAATGGTCCTCCACTGTGGAAAATGATGTTCCCAAAGGAACCAACATTCCTGACTCTTGAGCCAGTAATAGCTATCATGACATTTATAGCCATGGCAAGTATCTTTCAGTAAAAAGTTGAGCCATGACTACTGTTAATTGATATACACAAAATGCGAAGTTCTCACTATATCATTTTCATTTTGTGACATAAGAAGACTGTTGTAAGAATTACACAGTGTGGGCTGGCCAGATAGTTCAATGGACTAAAGCTTAGACAGAGCGCGGGGAGAGGGGGGGTTCAATCCCCAGTGTGCTGTGCCGGCCCAGCCCCCAGAGCACGCTGAGACAGCATTTGAGACTGGATATGGTGGAGCACCAGCGCTTGGGAGGCTGCAAACAGGAGAATCACTACAAGTCCGATCTACATAGGAGACCCTGTAGACTCTGAAGACCCTGTACCAAATACATTTTTTAAAAAAATACACCTTGTAATTGCCTAGTTTTCAATCTCTCTCTCTCTCTCTCTCTCTCTCTCTCTCTCTCTCT